TGGGATCTGGTTCTGGTTGTGAGTCTGGTGCTGGCATTGGAGGAGGCATTCAATCAAATGTAACTGTAACGCCATAGCAGTGTCTTCCACAGTTACTGCTACTGCTACTGCGACTGCGACTGTGTTTTGAATACAAATTAGCTAAAGTGAGGGCCGCCCACGACAAGCAGCAGAATCAAATCGACACCGACACGCCTCCAATCAATGCGCAGGACAACAACATTCTTGTCGACGCTGTCATTGCCGAAATCGACTTAATTTAAATTCAAACTAATTAATCAGATGCAGCTGCAGCTGCAAATGCTAATACACACGCCTCCCAGCAGCCAGCAGCCAGCAGCCAGCAGCCTGCTAAGGCACCTCAATGAAGCCATCTGTCAACTAGCTTAACCTGAATAAATATAGGTCTATATATGTGCTATGCAGCATGTTGATTGGGGCTGCGATAACAACTATCGCTGCTTAAGCTAATTAAACGCACAATTTGTAGGTCTGGGGCCAGCCCCATAAAGCTCTTAACATCTACCAAATGCTCAATACCATGTATCAATGTCTCACACCAGGCAGATGCCTGGCCTCGCTGCCAGGCACAGCTCAGGCAATGGCAGTTTCAATGATTTTGTTTAGCTCAGTGAATCGGAGAATTGAGTTCAACACACATACGAGTGTGTTTATGCGAGCGTGTGTGTGTGTGCTCGGCAATGGCACACACGAACGCAGCGAGACATTTGAATGTCTGTCATGAATTGATACCAATTTGCAATTGTTAATGAAACGCTTTGTGCTGTGCCGATTGCATTGCAGCACCACGCCCCCAGGCTAACCCAGGCCCCCAAATAAGTATAACTGAAACACACACACACACACACTCACCCACACGCACAAACATATATATGTGTATGCTGTGCGCCTCTGGCTGCTTAGTTGCACTTCAATCTTCTGCGTTCATTTCACTTTCCTGTGTTTTCTTTGACAGTCGAGTTACATTTTGGCCAAGTTTCGTATGTGTGTGGGAGGCAAGGTTGAAAGTCTCCAGGGATAACCACCTAACCCCCAAGTGTGTGTGTGTGTGTGTGTGTGTGTGTGTGTGTGTGTGTGTGTGTGTGTGTATGTGCGTGTGTGAGTGTGTGAGTGTCTGAGTGTGTGTGTCAGTGTCCAGCGCACTCGTGTGCTTTTGCTCATTTCAATTTTGTAATTGAGATTAGCTCTTGGGAATAATGGAGATCAGATCATTTAATTAACTTTGTTTTCGAGCACATCGAATCCTGCAGCTCCTTTATGCTTCTCCTCCTTTTATTCTTCTTCATATTCTATCTCTGCTTCTTGCTATCACTCTGCCACAGTGTCAAGTGCCTGCAATTGTCCGTGTGGGGGCGTCCTTTCTGCTGTCCGTGCAACTGATTGAAGCTGGCAACGTCCAAACGCAATAATTTTACGACTCCTCCTTGGCAGCTGCTCCTCCACTTGTTGTTGTTGTTGTTGTTGTTGTTGTTGTTGTTGTTTTTGTTGTTGCTGCTCGTCCATCTAGTTGAGAGCTGCCAGTTAATTTTCTGTGGGCCAATTTCATTTGATAATTTGCATTACGAATATTGCAAGCATTTTGTGGCCAATTTTCAGTATGATAATTTGTTAAAAGTACTCGTCTTTTGAATACCCTGTACACTCATTCAATTATTATATGAAGGGTTTGATTAGACTGTGCAAGCATATGTTTATTCTAGTCTAGCTATATCCACTATCATCGGCAGCCTCAGAGGCTATGAGAGCTTTAGCCATTTCGTATGCTGACCATGTTTTTATCCCAGTCAAAAGTGCCTTGTTTGTTTTCCAATCAAAGAAGAAACACAGACAGTTTAGTCGCAAGTTGAAATTTAAAAATACATTTTTAGTCGCTAGAGCCAAGATCTATTTTTATTCTGCAGGATATAACATATTCGTCCTAAAAAGAAAAACGCACAGAATAAGACATCTTCCACCTCAGTGTACATATTCTTGTCTGTCTGTTTCCCTAAAACTAGCTTCTTCTTCTAAAGAGTCGATCAAAAAAATGAGTTTTTGTTGGAAAATATCTGTTTTTCAAGATATATATATATATATATATATATATATATATATAGTATACAGATACAGTTCTACCGTTGTGGGCGTGACAAAGGCAGCCTTTCTTTTTTGCATCATAAGAAAGGACCTGAGTACAGGGTATTTGCTAGTCCCGCTCTGTCGACCCAAAACTTATTATTCGTTTAAATGCACTTCTTGGTTTCCTTTGACATGGGAATGTTGAAAATGTGGTTTGCTAGTTTCAATTAGCACTTGATGTGCTCGTCGAGCTGCTTAAAAATATTTCGGGTCTATGCATCTCATTTACATCGGCTAAGCATTGTATTTTCTCAGGGCCTTTGTTGGCAGAAGCTGTCTCAGTTTTTCAGTGTTATTGTGAGCCGCTTTTCATTCTCTCATTTTGAAATTGCATTCAGCTGTTTGTTTTTAAGCGCTGTCATGGGAATTCAAAACTACTTTTTGAATAATTTTATTTATTTATTTTCACTCCATAGCCTGCTGCAAAAGCAGAAGTTTCCCAAGCACCCAACCTCTATGCGGCCCTGGAGTTGCCTCGACTTTTGCCATTCACTTATTTATTTAGTTTTCCTTCTTTGCTTCTGCTTCTGCTTCTGCCTTTCCGACTTCTTGCGATATGTCAAAAGTACAGTGAAACGTCCCTCCGTTATCCTCCGCCCAGCCAATTGATGTCTCTGTCTGTGTATTGTGTAGGATACATTCTGCCACGGCTTGTATTTTAATTAAAACTGGCTTCACGCTATGGCAAGCATTTGTGCAACACACAAAGGCCCCCTGCAACACAATATAATTTGCAAGCCAAAGGTGCGGATATTTGTTTGCTTTCAGGCCCAGCTTCAGCTTGCCAGCCTCCAGCCTCTCAGCTATCTTTCTGTTGTTAAAAATACCAATTTAATTTCAAACACTCGACTTTATTAAAGCAGTTGGAAACAAATCTGAATAATCGCTGTTAGCTGAACCTGTAGGAGAGCTAAAAAAAACTCGATTTCTGATCTGTGTGGCTGCTGAAGGAGCAAATTTACAAGGAAATAAACTCCACACGATAGTTTCGTCAGCAGTTAGTCGTTCCCAATGCTATCGATAAATCGGAATATTTCTATTGGAAAACTCAACTCGTATCTCTTTTTATGCTAAAAATAATGAGGATCAATAAGCGAATGTTGCACTCGATAATTTCAGTATTCGATAGAACGTTCCAACTAGCACAGCCTGTGGCATTTGCTTCCACTTTTATCGATAAATCTCAAAAAGGTGCCTTAAGATACCTTTGCATCTATTTCTTTAACCATCATTTTTCTTGTTTGAATTAAATATGCAACAATAGATTTTTCTTATTGGGATCGGACGAGTGTTTGGCATTCCCAATGCAATTAATAAAAAAAAGTTTAAATCTGTCGAAGTCCCACCATATTCTCTTACAGGTCCAGACAGAACAGAGTGGAGCCAACAACTTTTTACACTGCAAACTTTGATAAAATGTCTAAAGCATTGCCAGCATGAACTTTGAATACATTTTCAGTTATGTAAAGGACAGCAGTTGGAATAATTATCGATACAGACACAATAGGTATTGAGAGCCAATCGAAAGCTGTGCAACATGCACTGAAATGTTAAGTTAAAATTAGATCATGTGTATTTCGGAGCAGAGACGTGTATGAAATGCGTTTTTATTGCTGTTCAAGGACTCGCTGCACGCGCCACAGATTCAATGTCCTTTGTTAAACAGGCTATTTATCTGCCGGCATTTGGTTAGGCCTCGTTGGAGTCATGGAAAGGGGAAGGCAGGGGGAGGAGGGGGTGTGCATTGGTGTGGCGTTTACAGTTGAGTTGTGCAGTCGAATGCATTTGGCAGATCAAACGAAATGCGATTACGCATACGCAGCGTGCGCCGCGTGCCGCTTTGTGGCGGGGGATGGCAAGTGGGTGGGGGCGGGGCTGGGTGCGGGTGTATGTGTGTGTGTGTGTGACTGTGACAGCTGTGCGGTTAATTAGGCCCTCAAAACGTAGCACGCCATTTTGTTGTCAGCATTTTGTACCTGCAGCGCTGGTTTTTGACAGTTGGCCAATTGGTTGCTCTCAAATTGCACGGCTCATTAAATTTCAATGGGTGCTATCGTTGGGCGCGTGTGATGTGCACTTTGGTGCCTGGCTAGAATTTACCGTTGCCTACTTCCAGGCGTCGAATTGTGCGCGGCGCTCGCGTGCGTTACCTACTTTCGGGGCGGCGGCGGCGGCACGCCCACAGCGCGGCGCGCGACATGCCACTGAGAGAAGGCGCCAAAAAGTTGTCGCAACTTTTTGAATGCCTCTGCGTTAACTTCTTGGCGCGAAAAGTTTGCTGTAAAATACTTTGCGCAAATATTGTTTTCGCATGCTTTTGTTGCGATAAGCGCTCGAGGAAACAGTGTGGAAACCACCCCCCCCCCTCTTACTCCGCTGTAGCCACGCCCCTTGTTGCACAGTAATTCAACTCTCTTGCAACGTAAATTGTATCAATGTGCGTTGTCTTTTTTAAGAGTTTGCAGCAACTTCTTGTTGTGTCTTCGTTGCGTCGCTCTCTCCCTCTCTCTTTCTCTCGTGCTCGTGCTTTTGTTTCCGCCCTAGGTTTTGCCATGTATTGGCATTTTCAACGCTTATTTGTATCGTTTTCGCTCACTTTGTTGTTACTTTTGTTGTGGCTTGAGCTGTTGTTTGTGGCTGCCACTGCAACTTGCAACTTGCAGCGTGCAACGCGCAACGCGCAGCCCTTCTTTGCCACAGATTTTTGCCATTTTGCCTGATGCTCTTTTCGACAATTTCCTTAAAAAGCAAACTTGAAAAACTTGCACGAAATATTTGTGGTGCCCGCCCGTTGCCTTTTTTCTTGTCTTTTCTATTTTCCGAAACTTTTCAAATCAATTGTGGCATCGAGTTTGTAACAATGACAAAAGCCTTTCAAAGCTTCTACTATCTATATGCATCATATTTAATACAACAATTCGTATAACATGAGATCGCATTGTGCAGGGGCTTCACTGTACAGCAAGCTCTAGCGACGGCGCACCACAGGCTTGAGGATGCCCTGGGAGTGATGCAGCCTTTAAATACCTAGGCCAAAGAAATATTTGAATTAAATGCAACTCACATGCGCCCGCTTCAGTATGGAGTCCTTGTTGACATCGTACGGCTGCTGCTTCGAGGGTATCTCCAGCACAGTGGGCACAGGCAGCAGATGCTTGTCGATGGTGGCGCGTATCATGTCCGCATATATCTGATTGATCATTATGATGGCGATATCCTCGCGTGCCACGAAGCGCTTAAAGCACTCGTCTATGGCCGCGGCGCTGGTGTCTGCCAGGCAGAACAACAAGTTTCGGTTTAGTTGGGAAACTCAAAATGAAAATTATTCCACGGCTGCCAAAGTTACCTTTCTCGACAACCATAAAGTTGGACTGACGCTCCTCGTTGACTTCGCCAATGCCGCCAAGCAGAAAGCCAACGCAGGTGTCCTGCAGGAAGAAAGAGATGAAAAAAAAAAAAACGGATTCAGAAAAACTTAAGCGACAAACGCGCTTGGACTGCAGCCACCTCATCGCCTATGACAGCCATTAGTTTACCCTCTTCAAATGAACTATTTGACATTTTAGTTGGATGAATATTTCTCTGCGTACCGAGTAAAAATTGCTTATCTATTTGTACTCAAAGCAAATTCAATGATATGTTGATAATTCCCTTTTTCTAAAAATATTTATATTGAAGTGGGAATTATTTATGCAAAATTAGAGTAGGCTCAATCATATGCTCGAATCCGACTTTTACAAAATTGTAACTATCATTCATTTTATATTGATTATTATAAAGTTTAAGATTTTCAAATTTGTTACGTAATACGATTTTAAGTAATTATATAGGAAACTCTCTTTTTGTAAGCACTTAATTAAAATTAAAAAGATTGAAAATATAATTTTATAAAATATATATCAAAAACGGAGAAATATAATAATGTTATAATATATAATATTTTAAAAATATTAACAATAAGAAGAAAAATAATTTTGATTATTCTGATAATAAAAATGAAAACGAAAATGTTCCAATTTGAGAAATAATAAACTACTAACTAAAACCGCATCATTAAATATTTAAAACAGCTTTTAATATTTGCTGAGCGCGCCTTTTGATAGCTCATAATACTAGTTTCCAATTAGAGCATATGAAAATTTAGATTGATAATTTGCAATAAAACTATTAGCTTTTTAGCAGAAAACCTGCTTAAAGTTCAACAACAAATGCCATAATCCAAAACATAAATTGAATAATCGCCTGGACAGTCATCAAAATGTTGAAAAATGAACAGCATCTATTCAGCGTTGATTTGTGAAACATTTCCAGCGAAATGCGAAACGCGCCATTTCCCAAAAACCCATTTAACAAAAAAAAAAAAAAAAAAAAAAAAACTAAAAGAAAAACAGAAAGGAAAAAAAAAGGCGGGCGTCGCTGCACTTGACAGCTGCGGCGCATTTGATGGCAAATCGTTGGTTGCACTTAGCTGTTGCAGTTGTAGCTGGTGCTGCATTTTTTTTATTACATTTTTTTTTTTTTTGTAGTTTTGTGAAGCGTAAAACAAGTTTTATAATTGTTTAAAATGTTTGCTGCCAACGTCCATTGCAATGCAATTTTATAACGAATTTTGTCAGTTGGTGCACGAAAACTTAATCGAGAGCAGCAGCAGCAGCAGCAGCAGCAGCGGCAGCGGCAGCAAAAACAACAACAAATTGATGCCAAAACGTTTTGCCCAGCTGCCCTCGATGACCCCTCGCACACCCCACCCCACCCGAGCCCCTTACCAAATCCCGCTGGCCGTGCCACGCCCATTGTGCTCTTTACGCAATGCTGCGCTCGAAAACTTTAATGCTGCGACAGCTCCTAATTGGATTAGATAACTTCTCAAAAGGGTTAAACATAACACAGCAAACAACAAAAACACACACACACACACACACACACACACACACACACACACACAGACACACACATACGTATGCGCATTCAGCCACATTACGCATACGCCGCATTGTCTCTTTGGCCAAGTGAATCGCTTAAAATCCAAAGCCGGTTATGTGCACCATTTTACCTTTCCTTTTAGCTGTTGTTGTTTATATTTGTTGTTGTTGTTGTTGCTAACTCATTTGCGTTACGTAGATGCCCAACAACAACAACAATAACAACAACAAACCCTAAAAACCTTTGCGCTACATTTGGCTAATCGTTGTACAAAACTTTCAACAATAACGCTTTGCCCTCTGTTGGCACTTTGTGCTCCAAAATTTTGAACTCCAATCGGTTTTTCAAATCAGCTCTAATTGTTAACATATCATTGGCCAATTTGGTGTTGTTTTCGTTGTTGTTGTTGCTGTCTGGTATTGTTTGCCGTTGTCGTGTGGCATAACTAATTATGATTAATGTATCGCCGTGAGCCCCTGACATTTACAGTTAATTAATAATTGGCCCAAAGTATTGCTTGGCTATAGAGTATTTACATATAAATCGTCGATATGGCTTGCAGTAAATGCATCGCACTGAGGTGCATTGAACCTTTTGACTTGTCAACGCGCTTTAACCTAGCGGCAAATGGACTTTTCAAGTTGCAGACTAGAGACGGTTCCGAATTTTTGGAGGCATTCAATTTTTCAGAAAGAGAGAGACTGAGAGAGGGAAAGAGAAGCTTAAAGAATTTTAATATCGATTTTGCCAACACTTTTTATATATTTTTTTTGTTTGTTTTGGAAGTCTCTTCTATAACAATCTTCGATAGCACAGTCTATTGCTCTGACTGAAAAGTTTACATTTCTGTAACCTGACTACGAATCTTGTTCTTCGTGTTGGAGAGGCTCACAGCAGCACCACGGCACAGGCCCATCTCTATGGCAAACTCAAAAATTGCTATCAATTGGCCGGCGCCATTGCAAATTCAATACCAGCGAGAAAACCAATCGAATGCGCCAATTTTTAGACCCCAAATCCATTTCAGCGCTGGCCGCCTGACCTTTTTTTCTATTTCTTTTCTTTCTATATACCAACAACACGTTGCAGTAGCTAGTCATTCAGCTAACTAGCCAGACTTTGTTGCTGCACAGCAAGCGGCATTTTATGCTACCGGTTTTTGGTTTATTAACTGACAACAGCAGCGAACAACAACAACAACAACAACAATCTGTGACTTTACTGGCTTTTGGTTTTTAAATATGGTCATGGTGACATCTAATATGGTGCTGCCTAGAAAATTTTCACTTATGCCCGGCACGTTTTGCCTATTTTCCTCTTAAGCGCTAAATGCTTTGGGTCAAGCTCTCGAAATTGTTGAAAATTGTGCTGCATATGCCAGGCAAGGGGAGACGGGCAGTTTGGGTAATGTGTGGCGAGGGGTGACGACAACAACATGTTGTCGATGTTTTCTCTTTTTCCCTAGAATAAACATGTGCTAAACGTTGATGTAGAACCGTAACTTGAATGTTTGGCTGGCCATGTTGTTTGAAATAAAATGTATCGAAATACTAAAGTTTAATTTGTTTGTTAATCGACAGGCCGAGTCCTAATAGGCATAAGAGCATCCATTGCATTTTATCGATAAATGATAGCAAATGATAGACAAACATAATATATAAAAATGATAGACAAACACGAATATATATATATATATATATATATATATATATATATATATATATATATATAATGCGTCTTTTCTTCTTTAAAGTATATATTTGTTGTTATTATAAAGCGATATATATCAGTTGAACTTGATCGATAAACGCCCATAGATAAAAGGTAAAGAAAGAAATTAAATAAAAATAAAAACTAATATATTATGCATTGAAGTAATAATCATCGCATTGATAAAGTTAATGAGCTCAATTTTCAATTTTCTTCAGTGTGTGTTCTTCGAGTTATTTTGCAAACTTGGCTCTCAGTTGTTAGGCTGAACTAAGATGAAGTCCTACTAACTGTAATGTGTAGCATTAATATACAAGAGTAAGTTCTGCTTATGAGTAAACCATAATCTAGCTTAAGGTAGTTAGTTTGGCTATTTTCTGCCATTTTCGATGGCTTCCAAGAGATGCAGACGTTTAAACACATTCAAGCAGCCACCTGTTAGCCTCCCCCCCCCCCCCCCCCCCCCCCCCCCAACCACCCACATACAATGCAGTCAGGTTTGGGCCTTCATTCCGGCACATTGCTCTTGTTTGTCTATGCCTTTCGCCCTTTCCTTTTTATTTTTTGAACTTTTAAGGCACACACGCTTGTTATTTATATAGTGCTTGAAAATATCATAACATTTGCGGACTTATATAATACGAGGTACAGCTGCCATGCCAACTGCCTTTGCCTTTGCCTTTGTCGCAGTTGTTGTCGTATGCACATCACGCAAATCAAGTCACACAAAATTCGCAATACGCTTTCTTCTCGAGCCTTTCAATGCGCGTATCACGCTGCCGCTGCTGCTGCTGATGGTTGCTGCTGCTGCTGCTGCTGATTATTCAACAATTTTTATTGAAAGGTAAAGAGGCGTGCAAAACATCAACTACAACAACATTAGCAAGAAAGCAATGAGCAAAATGTCAAATGCAGGCACCGACCAGAGAATACATAACAGCAAAGCGACATTAGCCTCAACAACAACAACAACAACGACAGCCTCATCAATATGAACGGAGATGCCGGCCTGCCATTCACCTGGCAGCTCAGCTAAAGTCTATGTGCGATATACACAGTATTCACCCGGCTTTGTTTTTGCACTTCGATTCAATTGAACTGTAAAATTAGCATAATGACATTAAAATAAACCAACGACAGCAACAGCGACAAATGCAACATTTGGCTAAGTGGGGAAAGGTGGCAGCCGCAGCGGGTAAAACCGTTTTAAAGCCAATTCTGAAGTACAGTAAAAATCCGGTGTGTGGGTGCGTGTGTGTGTGCATGTGTATAGTTAACTGTATAGACATTACTTATGGGTAGGTGCAGTTGCGTGCGTAAGCACATGGAAATCATCTGTAACCGACTAAGCAATACTCTGCTCGCAGTGTTCGACGAGCTTAAAGAATGTCAAAAGACAGCTATTGACTAGGGTTAAGAGAATCTATGTGAATCTAAAACTTTAATACTCAAGACATTCTTTTTGAGTATGGTAGTTTCTCGAAGACTGTAAGTTAGAGTGAATGTTTACAATGTTGCGTCTCTGTACTTCTTAAGATATCTGCCTTGATTATGGCCCAAGGGAGTGAACCCAAGAGTGTCTCAGGAACCTTTTCTCTGAGAAGAACCTTCTGTAATGTGGGTGCACTGATTCTTAGACTGTTAGCCTGATTAAGTGAATCTACAAATAGGACCTTCGAAACATGCTTCTTAACTATGAAAAATTGTATTTCAAGTTAAGTCGCCAGACATTATAAACAAACTGGAATGCCCCTTTATGAGCAGTGTATACAAATTCTGCATACAGCTGGCTGTCGGCCAAAAATTGTGTCAAAATGCATTGAACGCAGTTTTATAATTCGTTGGGTTGATAACCTCAGCACCGTCCAGGGAGTACCGCCCGCCCCGCTCGAGCGACGATTCATTCATTTGGCTGTCGTGTATTTGTCGATTCCATTGACGAACTGGGTCAGCATGTGGCGGTGCCAAACCGTTAATAGAAAATGCATTAAAGCCAGCCAA